CTGAGAAGACTCACCCTCTGTGTGTCCCCGGAACAGGAAGTGACAGGAAACCCAAAAATTTACAGTCGTCACCAGAACAGGAAGAGTGGAGAAATCCTCCAATGGGGACACCTGCTCAGGCGACAGTGGTCTAAGTGGGGGATGTAGTTGAAGTTGTGCTTATAGATTTAGAATACCACCTGGACACCCATCGAGCAGCAAGAAGAAATCCCCCAATTGAGGACACCACAATAAGAAGAGATGACAGAGGTTCTGACCCTCCCTCACTCTGTAGAGAGCGGGAAGAAGGAAGGTTTTTACCTGCACTGTGATCCCGGCACTATAGAGAACCAATTACACCTTACCGACCACTTACACATCTGGACCCCCGAGAGGTTAATTGCTTGTGCCGAGCAGAAAAAGAACTTACATGGTTGTGTCCCCATTACCTGTGCCAGGAAGAGCGCATGCTGCGGCAGTGGCGGGCTGCGAAAGACTCTGGCAATTGTCCTTCCAGCTGCAGCTAAACTGTCATAGGCGGCGGGGGTCAGTTTCATTGGTCTGAGTTCACAGCAGCTGGCGGAGGGAACCAACACAGCTCACCGCTGTCACATCATTCCATGTACTGCTCCTACCAAGAAGTGTAATCTATAGAAAGTATCCCAGGAAAGTTATCCATTAAACCAAGAAGACGGCAATAAGACCACGGGAATGATCCCTACCATCACACAAGGTGAACTCTGACTCTGATGCTTCCTTCAACTCTTCTCCTGAAATACTGCTGGAGGACTCTGCTCCTTCCTACTACTCTCCTCTCCTGAAATACTCTGCACTGCTGGAGGACTCTGCTCCTTCCTCTAACTCTCCTCTACTGATATACTGCTGGAGGACTCTGCTCCTTCCTCTAACTCTCCTCTACTGATATACTGCTGGAGGACTCTGCTCCTTCCTCTAACTCTCCTCTACTGATATACTGCTGGAGGACTCTGCTCCTTCCTCTAACTCTCCTCTACTGATATACTGCTGGAGGACTCTGCTCCTTCCTCTAACTCTCCTCTACTGATATACTGCTGGAGGACTCTGCTCCTTCCTACTACTCTCCTCTCCTGAAATACTCTGCACTGCTGGAGTACTCTGCTCCTTCCTCTATCCAATTATCCTCTCCTAAATACTCTGCATTGCTGGAGCCTGGAGGACTCTGCTCCTTCATCTAACTCTCCTCTACTGATATACTGCTAGAGGACTCTGCTCCTTCCTCTGTATCTCTCCTGAAATACTCTGCACTGCTGGAGGACTCTGCTCCTTCCTCTAACTCTCCTCTGCTGAAATACTGCTAGGAGGACTCTGCTCCTTCCTTTATCTCTTTTCTCTAGCAAACTCTCTTCTCGTGAAATTGCTGCGGCCAGCGCACCAGCAGCACAAATGAGCCGAAAGCTGAATGCATGCGATCATTGCCATTTGACAGTGATCATCTGGAGAACAGAGTCACTTCTACCTTAATAATAGTTGTAATAGAAAATCTCCTGGGAGGTTCAGCACGGAGCAGACACGCCCCAGGTGATCAATACCAATCAATGTCGCCATACCGTACATTAAACAATTTAAGAGACAACACAGGAGAAAAAAAAAAGGAGGACCTGTCTAGTCCAAGATTTGGAGTAACTAGATATGATCAGGAAGCATTAGATCCAAGGGAAGCGGCTTCTGGAGACAAACCGGGACTGACCAATCACGGGAGAGGAACTGATCGTGCACAACCTGCAAGTCCACCAGACCTGTCTAGACTGAAAACCACTGACCCCCCGCAGTTCCCAAT